CCTGCATCACCCACATGCACTCTCCAAGAAAGAAGCCACTGCCCTAGCCACTCATAGAAAGGAATGCTGCCCTACTAGAAGTCTGCACAGGAGGCTGCATTGATTCTGCTTATGCAAAAATGTCGTTCTCTCCCGAGAAGAGGTCGATTTCTTTAGTCCCAGGACTAGGCTTGCCGGTGAGACCAGACTTCCTGGCGGCGTGTCTCAGCCGTGTCCCGGACACAGACTGGTCTCCTGGTGCACCCTGGGAACTGCAGGGACTGGCTCTGTCTGCCAGAGTCCTCACATCTACCCGGTTGCTTGCTGGAGTGCTGGGAACCTCCTGGTCTGCAAGAGATTTACATAATAAATGTAAATCGTGAAACATGCGCAGCATTTTTATACTCTCTGTGAAGACATTTTAATATATTGCAAACATGTGCTACTAAGTCCTGTACTGCTGTATTGCTACCATTGCCAACAAGGTCATTTTTTTAGCATTTGTGTATATATATGTGTTCTTTTATACAACAGCTCAAGAAGCTATGGATGGATTGTCATGAAACATGGTAGGTGGGTAGGTTGCAAATGAGACCTCAAAATTGTTACATTTTGGGCTCCCTAGCAGATTGTTAAGGTACTGCAATGAAGCCTATTGTTTTGATATCTCGTGATGTGAACATGCTTGCCACATCTTTACCTTGTGGTCTTGGAGAGGTGATCTTCTGGAGTCTGTTGAGTTGCTGATTTTCTACTGGGGTAGATTTTGGTGTTGCAAACTTTGGTGTGCATGGAACAGGCCTCATCCCTGAAGTGGTGTTGAAAAACATGATATAATAACATGAATCATCAATGTCATGGACTGTGTAACAGTTGGGGGTTTATAGGCGCTACCAACTGACCCAGCCAATGGGTCTAGACCTTTTAGCTCACTCAGTTAGAGCGTCTGACTGTGGCCCTGGAGCCGTGAGTTCGAATCCGGCCCGGGACCAAGGGGTTTTTATCTGTTTCTACTGTCTCCTGGTTTCTTACAACTGTTCGAATTGCATATAATGGTAAAAAAGCATTAAACATTGATATCGATTTGCAATGCAGATTTTTTTCAAGACACTTATCAATTATCTTTGATCGATTAGTAACTCATGTCAGTAACTTCTCACTTTCTTTATAACGCTTTTCTTTCTTTCTCTTTCTTTACAGCTCTACTCAACAACTCTGTAGAATTTAGTTACATTAGATAGATGCCACCTAGCGAATATGTTTTGAAACGCCAAATATAATTAATACGGCATCACTGTAGAGTGTAGACTGCTGGATGGAATTTCATTTGTTGATAACATTCTACATCTAAATTATGTACGCACGTGGAATGGCGAAAGGGCTGTCCACTGCATCTGGAACCTTACGACGCAGGTGGTCAACATCAGGCACGTGCCTGGACGGAGGCACGGCCTTGGTCACCAAAAATGGCGAACATGGCACGTACTGGAAGGGTGAACTGGCACAGTCCTCGCCTGCCATCTTCCAACTACACAAGAAGAACCTTGAGATCTTCAATTCTCTGCAAACAGAAGACTTTAAATCCAGACTTCTGGTAAAATACAAGACAGTCAGTCTATTCCAATACTACTCAATATTGTGCATAAACCAAAACTTTTTAGCCAATCACCGAACATTTAACATTTTTCTAACCAATCAGGTAGAAGATAACAAACTTTCATGGTCGGGCACAGGTGAACATCCGGGTCCTGCCTGATGCATGCTGGGAAGTTGTATTTCCCGGGCCTTGTTCGAAACTTTTATTTTGGAGG